GGCAGAAAGCTGATAAACTGTCCATTTATGCTGTTATAGTTGCCTTTTGTAGCAGCTCTCTACTATGGAGAGGGGTCAGTTGTCACTTCCTTAAAACCTTTGTTTTACAGCCATTTTAAAACAGGTTGATTTTAAAAGTTCGTTTGGCTCTACTACAGTAGATAAGTCCAGACTATAAATCAGGTTTCAGGGGTACAAAAATAACTTAAAGTGACCGAGTGGTCAAAAGTTATCTAAATACTTTGCTATTGCTGTCAAAGTAGCTGAAGCTGGAGTTAAAGCTATGGCTGGACTTCCATTTCCTTCCGTATTTTCAGTTCCACCTCCTTTGGATCTTCTTTTGCTTGGGCAAAAGAATGCAAAATATTTGGCTTGGAAATGGTGAAAACACCAGGGCCTTTGCTGCATGGGGAGGTGGCTCTTGGCAACCCCCTGGCCCTGAGATCTGCTGCAGGCTGCAAAAGCCACCAATGCTTTTTGAGCCTCCGCATGAGGAGCATGGGGAGCCCATAATTTGATGTACTTGGAATCGTGACCACCTAAGTGTTTGGGTTAGTAAGCTGGATTAACTAAAGGGGAACCCTCTCTGTGAAGCCAGTGGTATGCACTGTGGCTGGGTACACAGCACTGCAGCAAATACAGGATCCTAGGATCGCTTTGGGACCATCGGTTCACTCTTAGGACATTTTAATGAGACAGATTTCTATAGCAGCCCTCTAAATTTCATAATAAAAGCAAAGCATGACACAACAGATTTTCTTAAGGCTTATTTAGCTAAATAGATAATTCTAAATGTCTCATTTTATAAACTATTTATTTTGTTCGATGATGGCAAGAGAAATACAAAAAACTGCAGCTGTTTTCTCATCAAAGAGATGGATCCTGGTTCCCAGTTACAGAGCAGTATCTATCATACTGTTAAAACTCATTTAAAATATGTGCTAGCACACATCTCTGGCAGTTTCAAATGCTGAGCCCCACTATGCCAAATGGTGGCATAGTGGTGGCTGACTTTCTTCTACCTCTTAATGAGGCTTAAAAAGCTAACAGCAGGTTTCCCAAATGCAAACCCCATTGCTTTAACTTTTTTTTTTTTTTTCCTGTTTCTCAACCTTTTTTTTTTTTCTTTTTCTCCTCGAAGTCTTTGGCAGGAGGAGTACCTGACCCTTTTTCCCTGACTGCCACCTGTCTTCAGGCTCCAAGTCTCTCCAATTTTCAGGATCTGACTGTGATGGATACCCCCTCTTTCTTCTTCATTTTAAAAGGGGGTATTGTATCATCAGCGTATTGCAGGGGCTGCAGCACTGCCTGGATAGTCATCAAAGCCTGGAGAGGAAAGGAAACAGCCCCTGGATTCCCATTTCTCCTGTGATATTTCTTCACTTCATCAGGCTCTGCTTACAGCACATGAGCATTGCAGTCTTCATCAAAAAGAGCAAAATAGCACTGCAAAGCCAAACGCAATGCCAGTGTGCAGGCCTGCTGTGGCACTCGCTCAGTCATAAACCTCCACTAGCACAGGAGGGATTTTCTACCGAGCTTGTCGAGACAGGACGATCTGTTCTGTACTGGAGTCTGCTGCGTGACAGGTACAGTGTTCAGTGCAGGGTCTGCACTGGAGATGCCAGCACGTGTGTGTTTAGCAAGTCCAGAACACAGTGGCTGTTGCCTGGGTGGGATGAGCTGCAATCCTGGAAGCTGAGGACGAGCTCTGAGCTGCCTCGAGGGGTACAAGGGCAGCCAGCACCTGGCTAGGGTGTTGCACAGCTCATGCTGCCAGTCTGCCTTCCCTTTTGCTCCTCTGATCTTGTTGAAGCTAGCAGCAATGTTCACATGGGTGCAAAGAGCGCTCACTTCTGCTGACTGGCTTTTGGCAGAGAAACAATGTGAAAAATCAGCTGCACAAAAGACTGAAAACAATGCTTTTTGTTTTACAGGCACAAAAGCTTTCTCCAGGTCCCCAAAAATCCAGTTTACTTGTGCGTAGGGGAGAGCAAAGAAGGGCAAGAAAGCAAAAAAGGGGGAAAAACCCTTTTCCAGGCAAGCCCTGGTAGTTGGTGGGAGGAGAAGAGCATGCGCTTGTGCCTCCTTGTGCCCTCCCACCCTTTCCTGCCCAGGGCCCACCCATCCGCCCCAGGTCCCCAGGGAGCGGCTGCTCCCTCTCTGCCGCGCCTGGACGGGCCGCAGTGCTGGGGTGCCCGGTACCCTCCTCAGAGAGGGGTGGCCGATGGGTGTCCCATCCGCCCTGCGCCTCCCCTCAGGGAAGGGGAGACTTGCACTCAGGGCTGCGGAGGAACCACTGGCATCGCCTCATGCAGTACGAGGATGGCAGGTTAGGGATGCTGAGTGGCACTTGTACCCCACATCTCTGTCAAATCTCTAACATCGCCTGTTTTGTTGGACTGCTCTCAAAGCAATGTTACCTGCATGGTGTAGCTTGTGATTTTATAAGGGTCGATATTTTCATATGGATCTTCTGGGTGGCATTAGCCTTTGGGCACACTTGTGCAGTACCTTCCACTCACTGATGTGGTGGGAAACCAGCACCTCAGCTCATGGAATCGACACTTTGTTTATGTGAAAGACCCATCTCCTTTGATTTAGTGCTGTTGTTCTTCCAGGACGGTGGTAGATACCAAAGCAAAGTTTTTTGTGATTGCCCTGTCTCTGTATTTTTGACCTGAGGGGCTGATGCAAAGAGCGTTTTTCCTCTTTCATCTTATCCCATGGAGAGGGGATCAGAGAAGCACAGGTTTGCCCTGAATTGTACAACACGGGTGTCACCAGCTCTTCTGATTGTGTTGGCAATTGCACCAGGTTTTGTGTTTCATTTTCAGCCTGAAGTTTTGCTAGCAAATGATAGTCTGAGTTTTCATTAAAAAAAAATAGAGAGTCTGATGTTGGAGACCCTTTCACCGTGAAATATTGGAACAGGTTGCCAAGAGAGGCTGTGGAATCTCCTTCTCTGGAGATCTTCAAAACCTGCTAGGACACAATTCTGTGCCACAAGCTCTAGGTGACCCTGCATATGCAGGAGAGTTGGACTATATGATCTCTAGAGGTCCTTTCCAACCTTAACGATTCTATGAAAAGTTAGAAAAGATGATATTGGTGTATCTAAAGAATTTTTAAAAATTGAAACATAAATAAAAACTTTTGTGATATGAAGGACACCTGCTTTTCTCTGATTTCCTGACTTTGAAGGGTGGGGACTCAGAGTTTTAATGTTGTTTTTAGCAGAGGTGGCACAAGCTGCACTTCACAGTTCTCTAACCTGACTGACGAAGCTGCTGTTCACATGTGCAGTTCTCAGAGCTGCCCTGGACACAACTTTAAGGGGTAAATGGTGTGGGTGGATGCACCCAAGAAAATAAAAAACAAGAACAGGAAGAACTCTCCCAGCTCATCAAATTTAGTCTTCTACTCTGCTTATATAGATTGTTGGCTGTGACTGGAACTACATTAAAATCACAGTTTCTTTTTCCCTCCCGGTCTCCTCCCATTCCCCACATGGACCTGGGAAGCCGTCTCAGAAACTCTCCTCTGATAGTTAAGTCTTCTCCTAATGCCATCTTAAATGTTCTTATGTCCAGTTAATCATCATTTTCTCAGGTACCAGCACTGTCTTTCAGCTTAAAAATCTTTTTTCACCTCCCCATGTTTAACTGGGAGCTCTCGACTCGCTGAGGAGGTGTGAATGTGCATAGATCCCATGTCCCCAAGCAGGTGGGGCGGCATCGCTGCCCATCTCTGGGGTGTGAACCCCACGATGTCTCAGTGCAACAGTCCTTGCTGCCACAACACTGCTCAGCACACTCAGAAAATCAGAGGAAGGGACATTGCTCAAGAACCACTCTTCAAGGTTTAAGCTGAGTTTTTAGCCTCAAGCGCACCCAGAAAGAGTAAATGGGCAGTAATCAGACCGTTTTATGTAGTTTTATTGAAAAAACTCTGAGATTGGATCATGCTTTAAATCCAGTCTGCCTAATGCCAAAGACATTTCTGAGAAGTGATTTCTAAGACTGTATTTTTACTTAGTTTTTTTAAAAAAGTAATGTTTCTAAATTTCTAAACTAAAGATTGAGAGACACTGCTCTGTCTAGGTCCTGATCTTGTACATGCTCACTGTTCACCCAAGTGGACAGCAGGAGGGACTGAGGAACAGATATGATCCTTGGTATTCTAGGATGAAATAAATGAAACAAAATACAGTGGGGCAACAGCATGACAAGGTCCAATATGGTCCTTCATGACACCATAAAATTTCTCAGAGAATGTAGCTTGTATTCTGCAGGTCTAATTTCCACTAAATGTCATTTTGCAAATACCAGATACTACAATGTAGGCTGAGAACGGGGTGAAAAACCACACTAGGTGTGCATACCACTGGAAAAGGTGATCTTTGTACTTGAAATTGGCTTTCTCTCACATAGGATGCCAAACACTTACCTTCATTTTTCCAGCCAAAGCTGAAACAACTGTTCTGCTAAAAGAAATAAAAGAAGTTCATAATGGCTATGTTGGAGGCAGCAAACCTATCCACTGTAGCCCCAGGGGAGCAATGAGCCTGCTCTGCCACCATGAGCTGCCAGGCTCCATGAGTCTCCTACCTCAGATGAGCCGGATAACTAGGGAAAGAACCACTTTGGGCAGGGAAGACATCGGTCCTGTCAATTATCGATCCTAGATTAGAAAAGTATCATGATAGTATTTTACAATAACATGTGAGAGATCACAGGCACGTGCACCAGAACAAAGATACTAAGTCCACAGTAACTGCAAGTATCTAATAGATCTCCTCACCTTCCAGCATAGTATGTGCAGGAAAAGCTAAGCTTAATAAAGTTACAAACCCCATGATTTCTAAGAAATCATGGTGTGAATTCTGCCTCAGGAAATGACAAGCCGACTCACCTACCATGAACAAAAATAAGAAGCACCTGTTCCCCCTCTCTTCTGCTTTAATTTACTTCCTCCAGCATGGGCCCCTCCTTTGCTTTGACTCTGGAGAGCTAAGGTGAAGACTGGTTAGGTCCTTGCTGCCCTTTAGCATTTATAACTAAAGATACAGGTAAGTGTATGTGTCTATAAGATGCTGTTTTAATTTGCCCCCTCACCCCAGTTTTTGTTATTGCCCTGCCCTTGTACTTAATTATCTACCATTAATTATTTTCTCCAATGCTAGAGGATACTTAGTAAGGTAGACTTTTGGTCCGACCTGACGTGGCTGTTCTTATGTTTTCAGGTTATTATTTGTTTTACAAGAATTTAAAGCCCAAATACTTGAGAAAACTTCACTGTTCAGTTTGCATTTTTTTCTGTCTGGTTTATAAGTATAATATTCAATCTTCTGTGACAGATAAACTCTTCAGAAATTTCTTTTTACAATTGAGTGCAAGATAAAATCTTGCAGGATTCTATCTAAGTTTGGGGAGTGGGAGCATCATGTTTTCGCTCTTACAGCTGAACGTGTTTCAGCTGACTGATGGATCACCTTCTTGTCCTGAAAATCAGTCCAGGTTTATGGAATAAAAATGCAGGGAGTTCTGTCCACTGCTCATCATAGCTCTAGTTAAACAATTCAACATAAAATTTAGAATGAGTAAGACTTCCTGTTATGATACAAATGGCTTAAGAAAAATGGAGCTAACGTGTATGTGCTTATCCTTTCTGTTTGGGAGTTGAAAGAAAACAACTAATTTGGCCTTTCCCTCCCAAAGAGAGCACTCACATCTCTTAGTGCTCTTTATGGTCATTTAAAAGTCACTAGAACTGTGCAAAAACTATATATCCTCTGGGCATCAGGAACAAAAGCTGCTATACGTGCTAAATATTGTTTCATTCAGGAAGTTATTCTTGTGTGTTATGTTTCCACACCTATTATCAGTCCAGTTGAAGGGTAGCAGCAATATCCACAAGTTGTCTGATTTCCTTCCCGTGCTATCAAAGATCAAAACAACAAAGATGAAAATGTTGGGGGAAATGCCTGTGATCACGACACAAATGGCCCTTTGGTGCGGGTTTAAGGAAGCTGACTGTGATATATTGTTTATGGTACGTAGGAGGCTCTCTTGTGTGCAAGAGTTTGGTGGGGACCTTGTAAGAGGTCCCCAAGGCAGTTCCTAGGTGCCCTTCATTGAGCTGTCACCGCCTGCCCTCGGTTATGGTGAGGGCAGAGCAGAGCCCCCTCCTTGCTTCTGGAGGGGGATTGCTGCTCGGGTTGTATTGACAGGACTGCAGTGGGTCCATAGCAAAGATCTGCACTAATCCCAGTTCACTCAGCTCAGAAAAGCTCAGAGGATGAAATCACCTTTGAAACATTTGCTCTAACAAGATGTGTTTATTTCAAACATGTGCCAGCGTTAAGGCAGGCAGAAGCCTAAAGGAGCTCTGTAACATGAACAGAATATTGGAGCCCACATTTCTAGCTCCTATTCTGTCTGGGAAAAGCCCACTTAACATAGGGCACTCCTGTTGTAAACCAATGCCTCGGGAACAGTTTTAATCTCCCTCAGCTACTCTTTATGGCCCTATTATGTCTGAATGTTACCGGTCAGTCTCATCCATGTCCTGGTGCAGGGACTGGGAGGAAGCAGTTGGCATGGCAGCTGGCTGTGGAGCATTGAAATCAGACATGCAGGTGCTTCCTTGATCTGGATCTCTAAATCAAGGAGACTGTGAAGGAGCAGAGAAAGGCACAACACGTGTCTGCCCAGGCCATGTCTGCACTTCCACTGAACTTCTATCCTGTTTTTATCACTGCTCCCACTCAATCTCTTCTAGCAGGGCTCCTAGTGAAGCAAATTAAGGGGTACCGCACAGCAAGTCATACCTAAGGGGGTCACAGCCCCTTGGGACACACAACCAAGTGTGCCACACGGCTTCATTAGAGCCTCTGGCTCCGTCACAGCGTAGCGTGACCAGCCTCCCCACTGTCCCTTGCTATACGGCTCTGCTGTGTTGCCTCCTATCAGAAATGGGCGCCTCTGTGCAAGGTTCTCAACTTCCTGGCTCAATAAAACAACTCCTCTATTAGTGGTTAGAAATGCTGCTGAAGAAGCCATTATTTGCATATCTTCAAGCTAGATAATTGCAAAGACCAGATAACTGTATTTTTAAGCACTAGTTTTGGCTAACAGGTTTACCATCAAAATGCGGCCTCCATGATTGAAATAAGAGGGTAAGAAAATGTGACTGGCACTAGCACAGCAGTCTGATGTTGTTTCCTAAAACTCCGATAAAATAATATTAGTATTTTCTATTCCTTTTTAGGCCTCAAGAGCTAATGATCTTATTGTCAATACAGCCTGCAGGGAGCTACTTTGTGTGCTCTAGATTTGCTAAACAGGATATTAAACCAAGTGCTGGGGCTGTCAGTGCAGGTTACAGCTGTGGGCAGGGGTGCACATCCAAGCCCAGCACCAGGCAGGGCCATTAAATTGCTTGAGTTCTCCCCATCCTCTTCCACGTTAGGGGAGGGAGTTGATGTACACAGATTAGATTTAGATGCCTCAGCTCTGCCCAAGTCTTTCTCTATGTGATCTTTTCTGAAATGAACAGAAGACATTGCCCAAAGTCTGGAGTAATGAACCCTGACTTATTTGGGTTACTGACTTACTGAACGAAGGGTTTGGACTTGTTTAAAATTGAGTACGCTATAAACCATTGGATCACAATTGAGGAACTTCAGAAAATTTGGAATGTAATATACTATAAATAAAAATGACCTCCCTAAAAAGAAAAGAGCACTGAACACCCTTGTTAATATTTAGAGTCAGTGAAACGAGTCAGAACACACAAAATCTGACCTGGCGGTAGAGCAGCTTTGTGCTCATCAGCTCTTGCAACCTCTCTGGTGCCACCACAAAGGCCCACATTAACTTTCCAACCTTTGAGGTTTCGAGGAGAGATACTGTCCATCTGCGGCAGTGGAGGCTATAAAACCACAAGATAAAAATAGTTAACAGCCAACTAGCATGTGCCTTGCAAACAGGTGAAGCCTGAATATCCTTTGTCCTGCAGCTTTTACTATCATGCATGCTGATACATCATGCTCACTGAAAGTGAGCGTAAGATGGTGCTAGTAGTCGATATTTTGTAACCCTATTAAAGCCAAAGATAGTTTTAATATGTAGGTTTAAACAGCTGAAATCCTAGCTGATCTTAAACAGGCATGCTTAAGAAACTAATGAAAATCAGAAGCACATGATAAGAAAATATGCTGTTGATTGTTGTTTATATATGTATAAATATATATACACACACTCTACATAGCAAAATAAAGCATTGTTTTCTCCAAAATGTTCAAAGGAACACCAGAAAATGCAATGCATGTTTTTACATGGCTCTGTACAAGTTCTGAAGTTATGCCTCAACATCTGTCAATCAGAATAATTTCAAAGCAAAGAACTGCATGAAGATGAAGGTTCGTAATAACTGTGATGGCTCCGTTCAGGATAATGCCCCTGCAAGGCTGTCAGGAGGTCAAGATACAAGCTGCTTTTAAATGCCCCGATTTAGATACATTTGTATGATGCTCTTAAATGTTTTGCATGATAATATCTCAATATATACAATATAAGAGTAAGTTTGAGACCTTCTCTCTTGTAACATCTTTATTATGCAGTTTCTTTATCTTTTTGAAGATATCTTTTTCTACCTTTATGCATAGTGCTTTATTAAAATGGAGTAAAACATACATGTTTTTCCCCAAGAGGGAGTGGGGTAACTCAACACAGACTGCACATCCTCTTCCTGATTTGCTAGGGACCAGGCAACAGGCAGTGGCTCTCCTGACCCACAGGATCCTGCGCAGCGTGCAGAGCACTGCAGGAGGCAGGGTAGGCTCAGCAGCTCCCTGCACCCTCACGCACCCGCTGCTAAACCCTGCTGCCTTTGCGCCTGTGCCTCGTTCCTGTCTTGTTCTTCCCGAGTTGCCGGGCCCGGCTCCGCACGCAGCTGTGCGGGGCTGCGCCGGCTCCCCAGCTGCTCATTTGCCTAGCTTGCTAGCGAAGGTGCAGGGGCCACTTCTGCTTGTTCTGCGTGTTGGTTACAATTGATCTATTAATTAACATAGCGGTGGGAATCAAGGATCAGGGAGGTTTCTTTCTTCTTCTTTCTTTTTCTTCTCCTTTTTTTTTTTTTTCTTCTGCTCTTCCACTCGCTTGCCTTTTCTGTTTTGAGTGAAAAATCCAAGCTCGGTCTTGCATTCTCCAACCTGTAAAATGGGAATGGTGATACCTACCCTGGAGCTGTGGGCTTTGCTGAACTCTTATCATCCTCAGTAGGAGGCAGCACAGAAGCACTTGGCACACATACTATTACAAGACAGCCCAGTTTTAAGATCTTGCAAATACTCTTACTAGCCTGTGGCAGCACGTGGTCTTCTTTATGGTACTTTTTTGTTTAAGAAAGGTTGCAGCCCAACGGGATTTTCTGGCTCTCTTCTCTCTGGTTGCTGTTCCCATGTGGCTTGTGAAAACTTGCACTAGTGAAAACTCGCTGCTTCATTTGTGTGGTTTTTTTCAGGTTAATTTTCAGCTGAAGTTCCCTTATCTAATATAGTTTCATGACGACTAACTGCAAGAAGAGACGCAGCAAGTAAGTGGCAGCAGGACTGCCCCCTTCGGTAGCAGCTTGCATTTAGATTGGCTTCAGTTTGTTGAGAAACTCAAGTTTCAGCAATGGTAAGTGACCTCAGTGTGTCCCTTGAGCCCTATAACTGCGTCAGTTGAAAGTCTGGTGTTAAGAAGCGTGGTTATCTGTGATAAACGCTGCGGGTTAGCTGTATTTCAGTGATCCGCTGTCCACAGGAAACAATGATTCATGAAATCATATATTCAGTCTTTTTCTGGCTAACTGGCTTGAGCTTGCAGGGGGAAGCCAGCCTGCTCCCCAGGCGGCCTGCGCCCTGATGCCGTCATCTTCATATCCGTGCCGGAGCCGCGGCCTTCCCGGGGAGAAGTGAGCACTGGCTCTCAGACCTGTCTTCTGCATAAGCTCATTAAGCCTCTGACTCTGATGAGGTCCCCCGTAATCCGCAGGAGACCTGAAAGATAAACGGAATATATAAGTTTGTGAAAACCATGGAACTAAGGGACTTTTCTGGGATAGTGATAGACTTCACTTAACACCTTGGAGACATAGCAGAGTAAATTAAACAGAGTATCAGGAGCGTCTCACATAGCAGAGCTCTCCTCCATCCCAGATAACAGGGGTACCACCAGCTGCCTGCTTGAGCCAGCGTGCCCAGCTACAGAGGGGAAACCTGTGATAGTGTCCATAGCACACAGTACCATTTCTGTCATAAGACGTGAGAAGCACTATGGTTTTCTTTTTTAATTACTAAATTTATTTGCTTTTATTTAAAGTATTTTATGATCTCAGATTTAGTTCTCTATTTGTTTATTTATTTATTTATTTATTTTAAAGCAATGGACCAAGGGCAGCCTGCATGATAAAATAACACACTCTTAAGCTTAGACAAAAAAAGGATAAAAATTATAAGCATAGGCTAAAAGTTTCCAAAAATGAAGCTAATTTGATGGATTGAATAAGTGACCAGTCCAAATGAACATTCCCTAATAAAGTAAGAACAAACGCCAAGGCTTTTTTTAGTTCCAAAAGAACCAAGTAATTTCCTTAAGATAATTTGTCGGACAACTAGTAACCTACTCTTTACCTTAACGCCTCTTGATTTTGTTTTGTGTATGACTCTGAATACAGTTTTTACAGTAATGGGAGCTGATCCATGGCTGACTGAGAGCTGCCATGCCCCCTGCTCCTATTAGAACCATTTTGGGGTAATAAAGACTTTTTTTGTCATAGCTAAGTGAGTCCATTAGTGCGCATAAGGAACAGTTACAGGCATTCAATTATGCTGTTGAGGGATTAACTTTCTGTGACAGGACTAATGTGGTGCTTGACCAAAGGAGTAGATTCACTTCAGGTTCTCTCCTGGCTTTCTTTTTTCTTTTTCTTTTTTTTTTTTTTTTTCTTTCCCCTTCTTAAAAAAAGAGTAGTAAAATGTCCTAGAAAATGTCTGCTGTAGCAACAGCTTGTACCTCTTCACTGGGCTTTAAAAGAAATGGCCCTTAGCTGATCAATGTCCAGAGAATCCCAGGGCCTCTCAAAAATGTGTTCAAAGTAAATGCTGGCATAAGCCTGCAGGCATTTTTATGAAATGTAGACCTACTAATGCGTTGGTTGTTGGGTACCCTTTTCTGCTGTACTAAATAGTTCTTCAGGACTACTGGAATTATATGATGCCAGATGTTTAGTCACCTTCTTTGAAGTTGTCTCAGAACTGTGTCTTTGTGGATACGAAGAAATCTGACATGTCCCTCAGAGTTAAAAAGTTATGTGGATCTTGCTCAAACTTACTTTTGTAATATTATGTTCCCTTTTCTGTATATATCAGTCAGGAAGAGGACCCACTTGACACAAAAGTTGTTTCAAAATGACCTTTGGAAAAGAGTAAGATTCTCCCGCTCATTTGGTGTTACGTAACCAGGCTAGAGTCTTAAATGAAGAGGCTAAAGAGCCCGGTTGTATCGCAGTTGTTTGCATTGCTCTTTTACTTTCTTGATGGTTTGCATTAGGAAATGGAGTATCTCTCCTGGGAGCTTCAGACAGAGAGTGCTCCGATAGAAAAATACACTCAATTCTGTTCACGTGTGCAGGGCTGAATCGTTAGACTAGCTGATCATGTTTTTTTAGAAAAGTTGTATACAAAGCACAGTTAGGGTTTCTGGACTTTTTCCTCTTTTAACAGCTTATTCATCTGTAAAAGTTTGGGGTTGCTGTTTAATTAGCTGTTTAGAATTGTACACTTTGCATAATCACTATTTGACTATGCTATGAAAAAAGGAAGTTCAATGCATTTGTTACTCAACCAAAATGATCTAAAACACGTATCATACTTTTCAATTTCTTTTCACTTCACTGAAAGTCTGAGCTACCTAATTCTTCCAGGGGAATACACTGTGATTTCTGCCTGATTAGTCTTCGTTTCACAATCTGATGTACACTTTTATCTTTGAAGGAGATCTTTCTATAAATGGAAGGCAACATACTTCAAGATACTGTGACACACAAAGTTTATTTGACTCAGGAATAATAAAAATAGTGATCTCTTCTTGGAGTTAAATATATATATATAGATATAGATATATAGATATATAAATCAAAACCAAAACCGACAGATTTTAGATGTGAGAAACTCCTATGTTCATATATAATTCTCTCTCTCTCTCTCTCACACACACACACACACACACACACACACACACACACACACACACTTTAAAATGCTTTCTACTGGTTACTTTTCACACTGCAGTGGGATTTGATCACATCAGTCAAAGTCGCTATCCAATCGTATTAGAAGAAGAAATGAACAGTATTTGTCTAAAAAAAATATATATATAAATATTGCCTGTCACCAATAGCTTGTATTATCAGCTTTTCCCTATGTTCCCAAGGCCTATGAAGTTTGTGGAGATAACTTGCCAGACAGATCTATTAGTCACTTTTGAAATCCCTGTTTGGCTGCAGGACCTCCATAAATAGGGAGACTGCAGGGGCTCTTGTACCCCTGAGCTGCTGCAGACTGGGAGGGCAGGGGTCCACAGGGGGATCCCAAGGCGCCGGTGTGTCCAGGTGTCTCCTTGTAAAGTTGCAGTAATATTTCTAGATTCCTGTTTTTGACTGCTGTCTGTAGATATTGATGAAAGGCTCCTTTCATGACAAAGACAGGAAACTTTTAACGTTAAAACGGCCAAACTGTTGTCACAATTCAAAGCAAATATGAGGCCTGGGCAGAAGCACAATATAAACATTCCCAGGAGAGCTTCTTGAGACATGTTGTGCAGAGCAAAGTTGGCAGGGTGTTCCATTTGCAACACTAAAAGCCAACTGCTATCTTTTTTTCTTTTTTTTTCCCATATTTAAGTGACTTTTTATTTGTTTTAAGAATCAGTTGCTGACGCACGAGACACTTCTCTACCTACTGATTCACATCAGCTGGGTACTCTTGCTGCAGTCCCAAGCGTTGGCTTTGCAAGCTTGTTTTTGCAATTGAAAAATCAATATTTCATTCATAGCCAAGATAAAGGGCTCAAGCCCATTATGAGATTACCACTACTGTGAAGCCTCTCAATTGTATTTATACTAAGAGTGGGAGGAGGATACTGAGAGCATTTGTTACTTATAACTCAGTGTACTACCTATTTTAGCTTTTCCAAGGTGCCTATCACCAGCCTATCTAAGTAACAATAAACTAGTCACTCAAGTGTTATACTAAATATTGCTTTCAAGATAACTTAGTATAATGAAAACAAAACTTGTTTTGATGATGATAAAAATGTTTGTTTAATAATTTTCTGCCATCGTTCCCATGTGAACAAGCAGCCCAAGGGTGCACTGAGGAAAATAGTCTCATTAATTGCTGTTCAATAGCATCTGACACCTGAAAATTATTAGTCACTAGTTGCCTGATTACATTAGTTTATCTGCAAGAGAAATCACACTGGCAGGGAATGTACAAAGCTCAGGATAAAGTTGTATAAGACTAAAGCGGAAACTATCAATTTTGATTTAGATTATTATAAATGATCGGGTCTCCCTATGTGCAAGATACTGTAGAAATGACAGAAATAATATGCAAACACTAGCCAATTATGTGCTGTCTCATTTAAATAATTTTACTTGTTGCTGTCACCGTGGTAGTTTCTATCAGCTTATATGAAGCCTATCATCTCCTATGGCGTAAGGCTCTTTGGGTCAGTGTGTTCTTGGTAGGATTAAGGATAACCTAGTAGGCTATCCAGGGAAAAAATGTTGCTAAATCCTGCTAGAGTGGATCTAGTAAGTGTGTGAAAAGTACAGCCTTTTGCCAGTTGTTTTCTGCCGCACATTGCTGTGACTGCAGAGCTGTCAGCAATCAAATCTCTGGGCTGTGTTTCCATTTACAATTTCTTCAGCAACAAATCTGGTTCCCCTCTGCTCCTTCCTGCCTGCTGCAAAGATTACTGTTGCGGCTGTTCCCTTGCTGCTGCGGCTGTGCCCCAGCCCAGACTTGGGGAGCGATACTGTTAAAAAAAGAAAACTGCTAAAAGAGATTTATTTATATATATATACACACACACACACACACATATACACATATACACATACACACACACACACACACACACATATATATATATATATATATATATATATATATAAAGACACTGTCTTGGTTGGCCTGGCGCTCCTCAAAGCCATGTTGGATGGCGTCTGCCTGCCATGGTCTTTGTCACAGCTCACCATGTGGCTTGTGGGCAGTCTCAGCCCTGCCTGGCCATGTGCAGAGCTCAAATGAATTGGAGTAAGTGCTGACGTTAGGGCTTTTCATTTAGTGCAGGGCAAAACTCTGGGAATATCATGTTAATTTAACTTGTCATTATGTGTCCCCTGTTACTTCATAGAATGGCAAGAGAAACAGAAGTTTTAAAACTTTTCAATGTTTGGTAGTACTTGATTACATTTTAACGTAGGGAAGTTGTTCCTGTGCTGGTTCTTTACACCATCTGAGCTTTTTAAAAAAATAGTACAAGCTGGATTATAGAAAGAAATGCATAGGCTAGAATAAGATAGAAAGAGCAATGATTCTAAGATGAAAGTTAAGAAAGACCTTTCTTTATATTAGAATAGGTGTAGCGTTAGGAGCTGGTATTCCTTTGGTCTCCCTGGACAGGGCCTGCGAGGGGATCTTGCTCTATGACAGGGCTGGCTCTAGGGTGCTACCACATTAGGTTACAGCAATAATTTGCACAGTGCAATACCTGTTGCAGGAGCATCTGTGGAAACGCTCTCTGGCTTCAGTGATTTGCCTTTGCTTTCTGATATTGTGCAAGTCTGTTTTTCAAATCCATGTTGCGCTAGATAGGAAGTGAATATAAGATATTCATCTTGCTTAGAGCAGAATCCAAAACGCATGTATCTACAGAAGTTTGTCTCTTTTTACATTGATAAGTGACTTAGAAATTTTAAGAATTCTTTGCTTGAAATTGCACTTTTCCTCTCAACTGGTGTACAGATTATTCCGTATTCTTGGTACCTGCACCAGCAATTACATGTGCTTCAGTTTGTTAATATCTATGGATTTTTATTCTGTCTTCTGATCAGTTTACATAAGGAGGAACATCATACATTTAAAACACGTGTTAACTTCTAATTCAAAGAAATGTATGCACAATGTATGCACAAATTAAGTGCATATATTTGAAGTTCACTTTTCCCCCCACAAGTTCTAGTGTGAAGAAAACTTGGCTGCCCAAATATTCACAAAATGAAAGCCAAGAAATTTTTGTATATAGGCACAGGAGCACACATACATGAAATCAAAATTTTCCGTTAATGTCACCTCAGACTCCAAGAAATTGAGAGGAAATTCCAATGAGAAGGAATAAGTGATGTTTCCTGTAGTTTTTTTTTCCCCACATTAGAGACTGTGGTCTTATTGTTTAAGTAATTACCCCTTATTCTTCCATTTGATTAAACTGAGCTTTCTTAAAAATGTCAATAGAAATATTCCTAGCTGGAAGGTTTCTGAGCAGCGGACCTCCAGCTGTAGAACGGGAGCCATCGGGAAGATACGGGTCTGGACAGACAAGAACTGAGCGCAGTTCCTCAAAGAACCATTTCAGAAATGTGCAAGTAGGGCTGCGCCAGAGCTTACTGAATCTTAGTCACTTGTGCTTAGGCTTTTGCAATAGCCACGTGAAAAAGAAAGGGTTATTTATTAAGGGCAGAACAGTTCCCTTTTAGTTCTGTAGCAATCATGTCTCTTTTTTTCCAGTCCATGGAAAGTGTTATCTCAGGCAGCTTTGTGCAGGAAGTTCTGTTTATCACTTCCTCACAGTTGCAGTTTGTCTAGGACTTAAATATATGATATCAGATTGCATCAAAATGTGGGCCTTTGTGTGCTTAACTCATCAAAGGAGGGGACCCTCAGGACTTGATATCACGTTGCTGCATATGCAGTCATGTAGCAAAACAAAGTCTATCTAAACAGGACAGGACTATTTCTGTTGGTAGTGCAGCAAAGCTGGCAGAATTGCTCTAGTTTCAGGTATCTGCACTGTTTCACTTCTTGTTTTTATATTTATCGCCTTTTTAAAAAAAAAAAGTGACATGTTTTGCCTGCTTTTACTATGTAAACTAAGATGAAAACCAAAATATTACTTGCACAATCAAACAAAAAAAACAACAAACCCAAGTAGGATTCACTTGGCGCCGACCGCTGTCTTGTCTGCCTACCCTGCTTACTTTGCAGAAACGCGCCACAATTTTGACTTCGTGCACCTCATGAGCTTTTGGGGCAGTTCTAAACTGGGGGGTGGTTATCAGGGCACTCGTGTGTCAAGGCAGGCTCGTGGGCCGTGCCCAGGGCTCTGAGCACTACGGCTATGGCAGGAGCTGTATGTACAGCTATGTACAGCTATGTACAGCTATGTACAGCTATGTACAGCTATGTACAGCTATGTACGGCTATGGCAGGAGGCCAGCGGCAGCTGGTGGGCCTGCTCTGCCCCCTTTGCGCCTGCGCTTCCCTTTCCTGTGGCACTCTGGAGCAGCTCCAGAGCTTGGTCTCCGCAGGCAGCTCCAAGAAGCTTCTCCACACCATGCCGTGACACGGCTGCTCTGAGCAGCAGCTCTTCTGCTCCAGGTTTCACCCTCTCCTCATCCCTTGTAGCATTCCCTCACTTAACTCTGTTGTGCCTTTAGCTCAGGACAAGGTTTGCGTTCGCGAATTAAGTGTCCGTCGCAGAGCCCTGCAGCTGCCTGCGAGCCAGGCTGCTGCTTCTCACCCGTTTCTGGAGCTTCCTGTGTGCCCCGGGCAAGACTTGCTTCCGACAGCCACCAGCCGTCCCTGATGTGACACGCTCTGCTCTTTGTTTGCTCTGATCCCCGAGCGCTACCAAAAGGAAAAACAGATGGGATTAGTCATCAGGAAAAGGAGTCTACTTGCCTCATCTTACCTGTGAAAAATGTCATATTAAGACAATGTGGGCAGGAACTGCTTTGTGCATTGGCATTTTGCATGTGTGTGGTTTTCTTTCTTTTGCATTATTTTAACTGCTGTAAGGGTTGCTGAGCACAAAAGATAACTCAGGATTTCATCAAGTGCTGTGGGAGCCAGTAAGGGGCGCAACCAGGCGGCCCGGGGGTGATGCCAGCTCAGGGCAGACACCAGCAGAGCTGCTCCTCTCCCCTTTCAAGAGTGCTAGGAAATTATCCTGTCATCTTGTGCCACTGGTTTCCACCCTGCCTTGCTGTGCCAGGGAAAGCTGAGAGGGCTTTTGCTGAGCCATCCTGCCTCTCTCCCTTTTCCCCATGTGGTGTAGGCTAATGGATCCTTCTCAGCTGCTGGAGTTGAGGAAAGCCTGGAAAGGTGCAGGGTACCCTGCGCGCTGCTGGGTTTCTGAGTCTTAGCAGGGTTTGGTAGGGAACAAGCTCTTGCTGCTGTTCAGAAAACAAGAAACCTCACAAAAAACGAGGATCTTTTATTTCTTTTTCTTTCTTTCCTTTTTTTTTTTTTTTTTTTTCCCTTCCAAAGAAGCTGAACTTTCCTGCCCATCTCTTTCAGTTTGAATATATAGTAAAAGTGAAAGCCAAGAGTCACCCCGCAGGAAGCAAACATATATACTGTCACCTATTGAAGAATTCTTCCATTTTCATTGTGAGGAAAAGTACCTGATTTTTTCGATCAGTAATTGATAATCAGTGCTTGGGTTGAAGTTTGCAGATACTGATTGGCAGTGTCTCATTTGCACACATATTGAAAATTGTTTTTTTTTTTTTTCATAGTCCTGCTTTGTGGCACCTCAGACCGTCCTAAATCTCAAGCCCTTCTTTTGGGGAGGGAGGTCTTGGCTACCATGTATGTAAGCTGATCTGAGACCTCTGATCAATTGAATTGATTCATTTTTTCCAATGAAGATGATATTTTTAAATAAAAATCCTGTTTTTTTTTTCTCTCTATTCTTCCCATCTCAGTCCTGTCTGGGATTGTGCCTCTGCATAGGAAAACCTGCAAGATAGTGCCAGCTTTAAAGTCCTGCTGAAACGTGACTGAGGTCAGCTGGGCAGCAGCTTAAGGGTTTCTTAGCTGGGGCCTGCTGCAGAGCTCCCATGGATGCAAAAGCATGTTAATTTGAACGTCTTATCACCAGGCTAGCAAGACTGTTCACACATTTTCCAGAGACACCACAGGAATGGATTTAGGCTGTTGCCCTAATTGCTATTGTTCAGGCTCTTGGCTATTGCATTTACCACAAGCTGTTCCATCTTGCTGGGGTGCTACAGGAGCTAAACTGGTGCTAAACTGGAAAACAACACCCTCCTAGGCAACTTGTTGCCTTCTGGAAGCTGAAGGAATTACGGTGTAGTAAGCAGACAAGCTGCCATGCAATGAGCGTAAGTTTGCAGCTGTGGCTGCAATAGATGGTAATTCTGTTTTTTGGGAACCTTGTACCTGCTCAGAAATGCAGAGCTCCATGACATAAAGCACATCACGCACTCATGCTGTGAGTTAAAATTTGATTTATTTTTTCTTTTTTTTGGAAGGGTAAACATATTATAACTGATTAACCAAGATGTATGTGATCGTGTTTTCATGCCTGATCAGGCCTGAACTTATTGTACTAGATAGTCCAGCAGTGCACTGATCTGCTGTTTACAAAGCTGATCTGCAAAGTCCCTCTTTGTGGATATTTTGAATCAATGATTCTTCCAGCAATGGGTTTCTCTACCTACCCCACCACAGTCTTAGCTCCCTAGAAAACCATGACATTGCCCAGCTGAGCTGGTACCAGCTCGGAAAAATACTCCTGCCAAGTGAGAAAGGGTAGAAACGATGGGAGACCCTTCTTCCTCTCTACAGTCAAAAAGAAAGAGCAACCCTAATTTGTGACCAGATTTTCCTCAATTTATGTGGTTTGGGGTTAGGTTAGTTTTGCTGTGACACTGCTCTGCTGCTGAAAAGCAGGTTGCTGCTTTGCACTCACTGCCATACTTGCCTGTCCCTTCACTTGTACCAGGATCAGGGCTTCTTTGACCTGACTGTCAACTAGATCAGAGAGACAAAGAAGGAAAAGAGAATGCTCAAGGAACATGATTAATTTTCTGTCAGTCTCTGCTCTTGCTCTGGAAAGAGTCAGGAACTTGTGTCCTGGGGAAGACAGAGGGCAGCAAAACCAACCCACTGGGCAGCAGTTCTCCGTAAGAGCACCCTTGGCAGTAAGTTGAAACTGAACCACAGATGTTTAGCTTCCAAAACTGTTTTCTTCTTCTTTTTTTTTTTCTTTTTATTGTTTGGTATGTTAGATATAATTATTAATCTGCTTTAAAAAGAGGAAATTTGGGTAATAAGTCAGCTCATTTTATTTAGAGATTGATTTGTGAACTTAAATCAAGTTTGAGATTGAAGGAGGGGAAAAAAGAAAAAAATAAAAAAAAAGCCTGAGCTGTCCTTGTATTTCTTTCGTTTTCATGCTCTTCCCCACTTCCTTATTTTGCTTTTGCCAACCCCATAGAACCTGTAAGTGCCAGGAACAATCATTTTTGCAAAGGGTGAGTGCACCTGTATTAAAAGTAGTAGGCTAGGAGTGGGGAAATGTGGACTCAATTTTCTGCTTTGCCCCTGATTTCCTCTTTAGTATTGGGTAAAATATAAAAAGAAAAATAAGTCTATGCTTCAATCTCCCATCTGTGAAATAGCTGGTGTCTCTTCACTTATCAGGAGGGTAGTAGGTGCATTCATGATTCTGCGATGTGCAGACGCCAGGGGGATTGAAGCCGTTTGTAAACATGAGAGGCTCTTTTAAAAAAACAAAACGTTGCCATGTCTAAATACACTCAGGATTTGTTTTTGCTTCCCAAATCATTATTTTTATCTTGTTTTAACCTGCTGGAGAACAAGCTGTTGTGTTTGCTTCTGGAGACGTATCTTATCCCAGTCCTAAGTTGTGTGTGTGCTTTGGCAGTGTGGCTCCCAATCAGCTAACCTAGGATGTAATGTGGTAGACAATGCGTCTTCAGTGGTGCTTTTATAGGGAGTTACTGAAGATGTACTAATTTCACTATGATTTTTTTTTTAAGATCTAAAAATAGAAAATCTTGAGTAATAAACATGGATAGATTTTCACCTACCAGTGTGACTTACTGGGCATTGCAGGTATATATTAAATGACTGGCTTCAGGTGGGGAAGGACTGACTATTCCCACACTCATCTTAGAGATTTTTGTCTCTGTACGTCAAGTTACTGCCTCATATGTTCAATTCCTGATTGCATGTTTTTTGGGGGAAAGAGAAGAGAGGTGAAGCAGTGTGCTGTTGGTTTCCAGTTTGCCTGAGGTAATTCCCAGCTGAGGGAGCTGAGCGCTAGCCGGCACATGGATTCGGCGGGCACTGCAAGCGTCACCTCGCGTGTGTGGTGTGGTTCGAGGAGCAGTGAGCATGGGGATGGTCACTCCTCCACCCGGAGGTCCTCTGCACAAGCAGTCCCACCGCATCTGCTTTTTGCATTGGCTTGTTCCAAGGAACAAATCTGTACAGTACCCAGGAAGATCGAGAGTGTGGGATTAGGAAATACCTACAGTAGCCTTATCTTGTTGGGTGTTAAAACCAATAAAACCTCATTACAAAAAGGCAAAAATGTGACCGCTTATTAATTGATGTATATTCAGACATAATATACATTGACAAAGTGAGACAGATGTATCTGTCCAACTAGGTCACTTTATTTCATTTTGCTACATCTGTTACCTGTGTGAACATGCAGATGCTCCATCACACTTCTGGTTTGCTTACACTTCAAGAAAATGTCCCAAGTGCTTCATTACTGATTGCAATGTCCTGTTTCATTCAGATGAAACGTATTTGCATTAGCTTATTGGAACTGAGTTTTAAAATAATTTAAAACATTTTTATTTTCACTATTAATGCCATTATGTCTTCTTATTCTTCCACTTGCAAATATATATATATATATATTTATATATATACATTTTTTTGGCAATTCCTTTCCTGGAATAAGCTGATTTGGTTTAGTGATGTGGCACTGACTTGTAGGTGAGATCTCGGTCATTTTCTCTTTTTATGGCAAGTTGTATTTGGCAGTGACCTTTGAGGCAGAAAAAGAGTGATTGTGTTTTTGGATACTTATATGTAATTCTCACAGCTGGTTGATTAAGAGTGGGGATACATTTTGGGATGGGATCAAAAAGTCATTTATCCCTTGGTTTATCCTAAGAAATATGGAAGTATAATTGCACTGTAATGTGTGTTTGATGATGGGAAAAGACCTTTACTGCTTTCCTCACCCTGATTCCTCTCCACATGTTGCCAGATGCACAAAAGCATGAAGCATTTGAGACATGGGTCATAAATGACTTTATTTGAAGGGCAGCCACAAGTCTAATTAACTCTGCTTCTAGTTAATGATATGAAGCCTATGCTTTTTGAATTAGGGAATGGTGAATTAATTCACCTGCCATTTTAATCAAAAACTTTTATTTCTAGACCCTTTATATAGAGAAATTAATGGAATAAGTGTGGCACGGGGCCAGATGTATGAACTCTCTATTGGTGAGGATTGCTCAATACCACAAGAATCCTCAGCCTTTACACCAAGACCCCACTAAATCTCATAATGCTTCTCCAGTCAAAATATATTAATGATCCTACTTATCACTATATAGAGCAGGTATAAATAACAACTTAATAACATTTTTTTTTTTGTGACATAACACTGTGAATATGCTGCAAGATTTCACAGAAGTCATATTTTGAAGAAATTGCCACGTAAGCACAAAAAAAGGAAATATTTAATCCTGAGTTTGTTATATTTCCTTTTAATTGGAAGTGCAAATCATGAAAATTAAGTTTTGCAGAACATACTATTCAGCACAATACATTGCAAAAGGAAGCCCAGAAGTGGTTGGATTCCCAGGAGAAATCATCACGGCTGCTGCAGTAGTTGTCAGATGCTAGCTGAAAAAAGTCAAGTATTAAAGTCTCTGAAAACAATGTGTCAATTATATAGCAGTTGTTTTACATATTCAGTTCTCCATTATACTTAATGTAATGAAAAAGGATTCTTGAGCAAATGGCTACTACTTTCTTAAGTAATTTTGCACTCATAGACAGTCATTCGTCTTATCCGTTAAACAAATAAGTAAGGTGCCATTTGAATCCTTTCCATATACCTATGTAAATACAGTCTGATGATATGGACACTTGACTTATACTCTTAATTTCTCACGGCACTGTGCTTTTATATTAATTAGTCTTTGGAGAGGGTGCCTACAATCAGAAAGAACCTCTCTATGTGCACACAATTTTAACTAGAAAGATTGAAGTTGAACTCAGAGGCATTTCCACCACAGTAAGTTGTAAGGATGAGCAAAGGGTATTCTTGAAAAGAGCACTTTGAACTTGGGGACAGCAGGACATACAAATTTACATGTTTATTATTATAGAGACACAAAGTGGAAACTGGAATTGTTGCTGGCTGCTTCAGAAGTACTGAGAAACCCAGAAGCAAAGTAAGTACAGGAATTGCAGTGGGAAGACAGAGCTTACTGTGCCAGCAAAGTTTGTACTCGTTAAAGAGTGTTTGCCAAAGGCGGGTATGGTTGTTGGTTACTGTGTTGTTATGGCATTATATGTAATTAAAACAAGACTTTCAAAAACATACATGCAAGTTGTAGCTGGCTAAATAGGCAATGTTATCTGGACTCAATTTGCTGAATAGTTGTTGAGCTGGATTAACAAAGTAGTGGATGAAGGTCTAAAATGGGATTCAACACCGACTAGAGACCAACTTTAAAGAGTTCAAATACAGTCGTACAGTTTTAAAGAGCTTTATGGTAATCTCTATATGAGTCTTCA